CACATGCAGGGTCAAAATGGCACTTAACAGGCACTTATGGGACTGCGCCCGACCTGCGTCGGCTATTGGTAGCTTTCGTACATGCCCATTGCACGGCATGGGGTAAAATCTTCGCACTACGTCGGCCAATGCGCCAAATCGGGCCCGAGCCCGGGCTGTTGACTGGTGCATGTGAGGGCGCAGAGGAAAAGAGACTGACGCCGGGGAATCCCTCCTCACGGTAAATTGGCGCTTTCCGTGCCGTCAGTAATAGTCAGGAGGGTTGCCAACTGACAGGATAACCTGATTCTTCTTAAGACTGAAGGTCAGGCCACAATGGCTCTCTCTTAATTTAGCCTTTGTGGCATTGTCACCTGCGTGTGATTCTAGACCCCCTAAATGCAGCCTGCTGCGTGCGAAGTAGGGCAAGGTTGTTTGTGGTAAGCGTGGGCGGACCGTTTAGTTTTTTCAACCACAGCACCCACGTTCACCTCTGATCATAGTGACTTTTTCTCGTCATCTGAACACGTTTGACGTAGGAGGGAAGGAGGCGAATGCGGCATTACTCTGCTCCACTGTAAACAAATTTACACCCAGATCACGACTAGGCATATCTCGTTGGGTAGTGCTAACGTCGCGGTTCGCGACAGTTGCACCCTCGTCTAAGACATGTCGCATTCCCACGCTTATTTTTTTCTGTCACCACTCAAATCTTTTAGACTTCGTGTGAAATCAGCAAATTAACAACCCCTATCTTGTTAGCGTTCATGTTTTCCTGTTACACCGAAATCAGTGTTTCTCTGTGATTCAGCGACATTTCCCCCGATGTCATCTCACGCTGCTGCTACCTCCGTGCCTCCCAGCCCGTGGATATAATAGTGCGCACCTCCGGCGAAGTTCGTTTGAGCGACTTTATGGTCTGGCAGGCCGTAGAGTCCTCTGCGGTCTTCTGCTTTTTCAATACCTTCTGGCCGACTTTCACATTTTGGCATCTGGCGGCGGCTATTCTGCGCTTCCAATTCAACCGCATGATGCTGCGAACCGTGAGTCTTTGGCAATACTACTACTACTACTACTACTACTACTACTACTACTACTACTACTACTACTACTACTACTACTACTACTACTACTACTACTACTACTACTACTACTCATAATGGTAATAATGGAAATACTACCACTACTTTCGTTTGATGTTGACGGGAGATCAGTCAGCTTCATTCGGCTTTCGGGGATCTGTTTACCGGACGTCTCCCGCGCGAATTTTAACTGCCGACCTCGTAAGCCACATGAGTCACAGGCCGGGCACCTGGAGATGTCTTTGAGGAGCGTTTTCATATCTTAACTTGACCACCAATATGGGCCATGCCTGAGATGATGCTACGGATACTTTCTCCTTCAAACCAGCTGAGCACGCGTCAGAGTCGTCAACAAATGAGGAATGGCGAGTCGAATCGGGTTCGGACTGTGCAGCCGTTTCTTAGTAACTCAACTGGAAATTCTAACTCGAGAATGGGACATAAGTACCATCAAATAAGCACGTTGCCAGATTGCGGAGATCTTGTGGGCACACCAGACGTGTCTCGTACCATTATACAAAAGTCGTCTTAGAGAGCCTCGCATACGCTGACTGCATGCTTGCCCATCCGAAATGCTTTACGGGAGTCCCGGTGATTACAGCGCATTGGCCAGCAATGTTACTGGCGTGACTGTGATAGATTCGCAAATTTTCTTCTTGGCTGCTAGCTCCTTAGTTCTGCTTGAATCACGACCTATCGAGAGCCACGTAAAATTTCGACTATACTTTGTTAGGGCTGGTATGTCAGGACCGAAAATTCAGTCGCCCTCCAACATAAAGTACGAAATGTTTTTTCATCCATCCCGTCTAAATTCCTCTCGAGGGTCTGTGGCATCGGCTCTCGCTAGCGGTTCTGCGATAAGAAGTCAAGTCAGGCAAGCATACGCTTTTGATTATTCATCGTCAGGCCTATAAAGGGTAATATAAGGGCAGTATAGCAAAATTTAAGCATCCAGTAATAGTCACTAATGAGGGAGAGGGTTGAAGGGCGTTCAGAGCTCAGTGGTCAAATTCTAGTTCTGTCTGGGTTATCGAGGGGAAGAGGGTAGTCGAATTCTGTCGAGTACATAGAAACTTGTGAAGTCATAGGGCATCTAAATTTGTTGCTGTTCGGGTTCCCTTGCCCTAAATCCGGCTTTTGAACATTAATTCCGCCCGCAGGATGACAGGAGGGGACCACGCCGGTGGTTCTTATTTCTCATGTTCTTCTTCTCGCCACTCCTTTGTTCATGTCAATCATGACAGTAATAATGATAATAGTAACAATCACCACCACCACCACCACCACCACCACCATCATTATCAAC